CTGCCGATGGCGGCGCATCCGATGGGGAGTCCCCAGCCTGTGCGTGCACGTGCTGTCCTGCCCTGTCGTGCAGACTTCAGTCTCGTCACGATGGCCACCATTGGGTATGGTGAGCGGCGGTCAGGCAGCGGCCAGCCTTGGTGCCGCTGGGGCCGTCAATCGGCTGCCCTCCTGGGTACCCGCAGCCCCGAGTACTGCCAGTAGTGTACCACACAGGTCTTGCAACCTCCCTGTAGCAGCACATGGACAGCTGGCACTGGCTGGCCGCTTACGCACATGTGCCTGTGTGCCTGCACTCCAGGCGACATCGTGCCCAGGAACCCGCTTGAGTGGGTGGTGGACTGCGTGGTGGTGGCCCTGGGGGTGCTCATGTTTGGCCTGGCGCTGGGCAGCCTGGCGGAGCTGGTGGCCAACAGCAGCAAGGAGGCGCGGCAGGCGCAGGTGGGGGGCCCGGGCCTGCTGTGCTGTGCTGTGCTGTGCTGGGCTGTGCTGTGCTGTGCTGTGCTGTGCTGTGCTGCGATCGTGCCCCGCCAGCTCCCCCGGTGCTCGGCCCACCAACTCCTAACCCTGCCAGCTAAACCACCCCCTGCGGGTAGAGGAGCACCCTTCGGATCATCAGCCTGCGCCTTACCTGCGAAGTCACGCAGCCTGCCATCACCGCCCTGCCCAGTGCTGCCCGCTTTCCCCACTGCCTGCCTGGCTGTACCGTGTACCGCAGGTGTACCGCGAGAAAATGGAGGGGGTCAACGCCTGGCTGCACGCCTCTAGCATCCCGCGCCCGCTGAAGCACAAGATCCGAGCCTTCTACTCGGGTGAGCACGGCCGCCTTGCTGCCATTCCTGCGTCGCCAGCTGCGCGCCTGTGCCCTGCGCCTTGCGGCGCCGTCGACGGCTGTGCCGTGCAGCGCCTGCCCTCCCTGCTGGGGCTGCGGCTGGGGCATTCAATCCCTCCGCCGCGCGACGTGCCACCGCAGCCTGCCGTGATGCCCGCTCGCCTTCCCGCCTGCTGTTGTTGGCATATGTAGACGTGTGGCTGCGCCACGCTGCCGCCCGCACCAGCGTGGTGGAGCAGTTCCGAGAGCTGCCCCACGCACTGCGCCAGGAGGTGGCCTGGGAGCAGAACCGGCGCCTGCTGGAGCGCCTGCCGCTGTTCAGGCGCGCAAGGGCAGCCGCCGGTGGCCGCACGCCTCCCCACCTGCCAGGGCCCCAGGCAGCGCCGCTGCAACTGACGGGCCATCCCGGCACAGGCCACAGAAGCGCTGCTCTGCGCTGCATGGCATGCACCGCTGCCCAGGCTGCCCGCGCCACCCGCCGCTGCCGTGACGGTGCGCCCTGCCAGCCCTGCCGGCCCTGCCAGCCCTGCAGGGAGCTGGACGCCACCCAGCGCTGCGCCCTGGCGGGCACCCTGCTCCCAGTGGACCTCACCCCGGGCCAGGAGCTGTGCCTGCACGGCGACCCAGCAGACCGCTTCTGGCTGCTGCACGAGGGGGAGGTGCAGGTGGGCTAGCCGGCTAGCTGGCAGCGGCCGCCGCACGCCACCATGTCGTAGGAAGGCAGCAGGCATGCACCGCTGTGGCGTGCTGGCTTGCTGCCAGGCGGCCGGCCATCCCTCCACAAACTGCGTGCCCTTTCGCCGCCGCTCGCTCTCTCCCTTGATCCCTCCCTCACCCCCCCCCCCCCCACACACACACACACACACACTCTCACACCCCAAACACACAGCCACTATCTCTCTCACACACACCAACACAGCCTGCCCAACCACCCCTTCCGCCGCAGGTGTTTGATGAGTGCGACATCGTGGCCGGCCTGGCGGCGCCTGCGGTGCTGGGGGTGGAGGCCCTGCTGCAGCACGTGGACCCCTCCTGCGCGGCACGACCCTACGGCTACAGGCGAGCGCCGGCCCGGCTGGGGCGCCGCCCGGGCGGGGGCTGGGACCTGGGGGCGCCTCCTGTGCGTATCATGCCCAAAACAGCAGCGGCTTGCTGTTGTCTGAGTAGCTGTTGAGTAGCTGTAGCAGCGGCGCAGGCGGGTTGGCAGCACCAGGGCAGCTGCCAGGCTGCTTAGGGGCCCATCGATCAAGACCAGGTGCAACCGTGCCTCTGCCACCCTTCCCTGCTTTTCCGCCGCTGCTGCCGTGCAGGACCGCCGGGCCCTGCACTGTGTGGGAGGCGCAGCTGGAGGACTTGATGCCATACCTGCTGGAGAATGTGGGGGTGTTGGACGCCCTGTGCAGCCGCGCCCAGGAGCAGCTCGAGGCGCAGCGCGAGGCGGCTGGCTGGCTGGGGCGGCCCGCGGCGGTGGCCGTGCCGGTGCGGGGCGCAGCCGACGGCGGCAGCGGCGGCGGAGGAGGCGACTCACTCCCCGGCGAGGGGCTGAGGCAGGAGGAGCAATGGCAGGGCCAGGAGCAGGCACCGCCCCCGGCCTGCCTGCACGGGTCTGGCCACCGCCGCTCCCGGGCTCCTGGTATGGACGCCTCGACTTGGTCGGTCTCTACTGATGCCATCACCCCAGAGCAGAGCGCTGGCTCAGAGCAGCATCCCCCGCTGCACGCATGGCGTGCTGCTGGCGCCGGCGACGCCGAGCGTGCCGCGCCGGCAGGGGCCGCGCCAGCAGCGGAGGAGGCAGCCTTGCCAGCTGCCCGTGGCACCGATGCCGAGGCGGCGGCCACGAGAGGTGGGAGAAGGGAGGTGTGGGGCTGTAGCGCAGAACTGGCAGGTTGTTACCCTCTGCTGGCCCCTCAGCTGCCCGGCTGGCACATTGCCAGCTCAGCTGGCGCCAAGCCACTCCCATCACTGCATCCTAGCACCGCCCCCATGCCCCTGCGCAGGCGAGATGTTCCAGCTGCGGCAGGAGGTCATCACCCGGCTGGATGGGCTAGGGGAGCAGATGCGCCGCGCCGTGGCCGCTGCCAGCCTGGCGCAGTCGGTCGCAACGCTGAGCGCTGGCCGGCCGCATAGTGGCGGCGGTAGTGGTGGCGGAGGCAGGGCCATGGTCGGGAGGACTGAGTCGTCACGCCTGCGGCGGCGCCAGTGGAGCTACGGCCACCTGAGCACGCAGTGAGGGAGGCTTGGAGCCGTGGCGGCACGCCCCGAAACGCCGGGCGGCGCATGGTCGAGCGCTGAGCACAGCTGCGCAAGACCGTCAGCGCCCTGAATCACTCGAGTCTCTACGCTGTGTACCAGTCTAATGGATCAAATTCTTATTGCGTTTGTAGGGGTCGTATCTTGGTTCCCCAGTGTGTGCCCGCCACGCCTGCGTGCCTTGGCGGCAGTATTCATTTACACAGCAGGCAGGAGCGATGATGGAATGCGTATCGTAGCAGTATGTTGAATGATTGAATGAATGAAATGATCATCTGAGAGGCTGAAGAATAGCTGAAGGCAATTATACATGGGCATGGCGACTGCCTGCGGAGGCGGCAACGACTCGTTGCTCGGAGCACCCGCCAGCGTGGCGCGGCACAGGTGGTAAAGCGTCGCTCACGACTCCTTGCGCTCCTCCGGCCCGCCCTCGCCGCCCTCCGGCCGCTCCCTGTCCACCTCCTCCGGCAGCAGGCGCAGCAGGGGCAGCGGCAGCAGGCTGCTCAGCGTGCACAGCGTGACCAGCAGCGCCAGGCGGTCGAAGTTGTCGCCCGTCACGCCCAGCCACGCGGTCAGCCCGGAGCCCAGCGCGTTGCCCACAAACATGCCCGAGTTGAGGATAGACATGAGGGTGGCAAACAGGGTGGCCTCCACGCCCTGCGGCCGAGAGAGGGCCCAGCGGGCAGGTGTGGTCGGTGGGGAGGCGGCACAGGGGCAGAGAACTCGGCAGAGGGTCAAGAGTGGTCAGGGGAACCGGGGGGGGAGGGGAGCGGGCAACGCAGAGCTGGTGATAAGTTGCGGGGGCGGGGCGTGCCCCGCGCAGCCGTCGCCGGCAGCATCACGCAGGCCGCTGCGGCTCCGGCAGCCCCAGCAGCAGCGCCTACCTCGGGGCAGATGCGTGCGGCCAGCACCAGCAGCGGCATGAAGGCCACCTGTCCCAGCACCGTCAGCAGCGCAGTGTCGGCCAGCGCAAACAGCTCGTCGCTGAGGCCCAGCGTGCGGTTGAAGCCTGCGGGCCGGGTCCAGCCGTTGGGGCAGCGGCGGCGGCGGCGGGTGGAGCAGCGACGGCAGCAGCGCCTGCCCCCAAACCACAGCACGCGCTTAGCGCTAGCCACAGCCCTTCGCAGGCAACCGAGAGCCCCGTGTCCTGCCCATGAACCCACCACACAAAAGCATATGTATGTATACACACCAGACCACCAGCCACCCAGCAGCCCACCTGTGACCAGCATGAGCTGCGTCAGGCCCAGCGCCACGCCCGCCAACGACGTCCACAGCAGGATCTTGCGCAGCGGCGTCTTCTTGAGCAGGAAGTTGTACACGCCCACGCCCGCCAGGGACGCCAGCGCACCCACCAGCCTGCGCGCCGGCAAGAGGGCGTGCCGTGTCGTGCAGGGTGCTGGGTGTGCCACACAGGGGGGTGCGAGGAAGCAGCCCTCAGCGTAAGAAGCAACCTGCCCCGATGCTTTCCTCCCGCGGATGCTCGCTTCGCAGGCAGCTCCTGGCGCGCGGCCCCGCCACCAGGGTGGCGCCAGGCAGGCGGGCACAGGGGCAAGACGGCGCCAGCAGAGCAGCAGGCGGCAGAGCAGCAGCAGACGCTGCAGCGGCACCCCCAGGCTCATGCAGGCGGGAGCACAAGGAACCGGCACCAGCAGGGGCAGCGGAAGCCTCGGTGGCAGGCGCCCGGCGGCAGGTGCCTGGCACCCTTCCGCCAGGCCAAGCCCCACACAGGAGCAGACGCCCGGCGCCTGGCGCCCACCTGATCTCTCCCAGCACGTCTGGAGTGAAGCCCAGCTTGTTTGTCTCAAAGAAGAGCATGGCTGTGTCGGCGGTGGGGGTGGCCTGCAGCGGCTTGCAGGTTTGGGTGGGCAGGCCTGATGTGGAGCGCCGCAAAGCAAGCCCCGCCAGCACGCCCAGCAGCCTGCCCATGCGGCGCAGACGGGTGGCTCGCCTGCCAGCCAGGCCCTGCACCAGATCCCTCAACACACACAACCAGCCAGCCAGCCAGCCAGCCAGCCAGCCGGGCAGGCCACCCCACGGCGTCCTGCCAGCCCCCACCCACCTGCCAGACAAACACAAAGATGGCGGGGAGGAAGATGCTGGGCTGCCTGCCGATGCCCCACAGCAGTGCCGCCTGCTGCCAGAATGCCACCGCCACCCCCGGGTGCGGCCTCGAGGCCAGCCCGCCGACGGGGCTGGGGCTGCGGGAGCCCGGCGCCGAGGAGCCCGCGCCGGCGCCGGCGCCCGCCATCACGCCCGGCGCCCTGACCCGCTCCTCTGGTATGGCCAGCGCGGCTCCCGTGACCAGCAGCGGGAAGGCGGCGGTCAGCAGGAAGACTATGCGGGGGCCGTAGTCGCCCACCAGAGAGCCGCTGCAAGGGCGGGGCAGGGGCGGGGCGGGGAAGGTAGGTGGGAGAGCGGCGTGAGGGTGCTTCTTGGTCGGTCGCCAACGGGGTGGCAGGAGGTGCCTGCGGGGCAGCCCTCCCAGAGGGGTGCGCACGCGCGCGCACACACACAGACACACACACCACCACCACCACCACCACCACAAGAACAACACAACCACACTGCCCCGCAGCGGGGCAGCCAAGCTCGCCTGAAGTAGGCGCTGGCGATGCCACCGGCTGAGGCCGAGGCCCAGCACAGGCTCTGCAGCGAGCCTGCCGTGCTCTGCAGGCGCAGCAGGCGCGGAGTACGCATGGCTGGGTGCCGCAGCCACCTCGAGGGCGGGGGTGGGACCCAGCCTGCCCACGGGCTGCCACACAAAACCTGGCAGACGCGCGCACAGCCACCGCATGCTTCCCACGGCCAAGCATGCGAGCCAAGGAGAGAAGGGCCCCGCAGCAGCGCACGCCTGGAACACAAAACCTGGCACGTCCCCCCACCCTCCAGCACACACGCCCCAGGCGCACCATGGTGCTTCCGGGCCGCCGCACGAGCTGCACCACCACCGAGTCCGCCACCACGTCTGCGCAGGCTGTGGAGGCGGAGCCCAGCACCAGCAGGAGCACCACCGCGTGGGCGCTGTCGGCGCACAGGCCCATGCCGGTCCAGGCAGCGGCGCCCAGCAGGCCGCAGATGGCCAGGTAGGAGCGGCGGCGGTACCCAAACAGGGGTACCGCGTCGGACAGGAAGCCGTACACGGGCTTGATCATCTGGCGGGCGATCGAGGGAGGGGAGGGGCAGCGGGTGGGTGGGTGGGATGCCGGCAGAGCGCATGCAGCGGTGGTGACGGTCAATGGCGGGGAGAGCAGCAGGCGCGGGCACGTAGCGGAACAGCAAGCCAGTCGGACGTCCTGCCTTTGCAGCCGACGCCGGGCGGCAAGCCCGCTCCTGCCCGGCCCGGCACCGAGGCCCAGGCGCACAGTCTCTGTTTCTTGCATTGGTACTAATAGAAAACAATTGTGTACTCACCCAGGGCGCATAGCCCGAGGAGGTGACGAGTGCCACAGTGGCGGGGGCCAGCCCCAAGTTGTCCTTTAGGAAAGTGAAGACGGCGAGGCGGGACAGGCCCAGCAGGCCTTGCACCAGATAGACTGCGGCCGGGGTGGGGGGTGGCAGAGGAGGGGAGGGGACACAATCCGTCATGGCCTGCCGTGGCGGGGCGGAGCTCCGGCAACCGCCGGCAGCCGGGTGCGGCAGGAGGCATGGGTTGCCGCTGCCGCACAGCGGTAGTTGCCAGGAGTTGGGTGCCCTTGTTCATACCAAAGGCATCCTAGCCAGCTTGGCCACAATCACATGCGCCCGACCAAGCAAAGACTCACCCAGCGCAATGGCAACGAGCTCCGGCTGCACAGGGCCGGGCTCCAGCGGCCACCACTGCTGCCGCCGCTGCCGCTGCTGACCCACCGCCTCGTAGCCCATCTGATTGTCTTGCAGCCCGCTGCCCTCCAGCCCTCGCTCATCCACCACTGGGAGCGGCTGCTGCTGCTCTCCGCTGCGCTTGCCTTCCACTGGCCGGCTGGACGTCAGGCCTAGCGGCAGCTCCACTTGATCCCTCTGACCCGTGCTGCGCATGCAGCCGCGCAGGCCCGGTCTTCTGCGCGCCGTGCGAGAAAGTGGGAGGCGAGTGTACCCTGTCCGCGCTGCTGGCGCCCAGGATTGGCTCATGAAAACGCTCGCATTCAAAATGCGGATCCAGAATGTGATCAGGGGGACGGGAGGAGGATGTTGTGTCATGGGCGGGCGCCAAGCTGGCGGTGACGGAGCGGCGAGAGGGCTGCAGGCGGCAATGGTGCTTCGGGCAGGCCTTCTGGCAACCATGCTAAACTAGGACGTCACGGGTGAATGCGGCACAACAACCGGCCGAATTCCTGCACAGAGAAACCCACGTCATATTCGCTGGTGGCGGCGGCAGCGGTGAACAGATGCGGGCCCATGCGAAGCCTGGGGGGGCCGAACAGACGAGCTGACACCAGGAATGAGCCGCAGGTGTCACAGTAACAGCATGGTGAACAGTGGACCGGGGTAGAATATTGGCGGGCGGCTGCGTGCCCGCCTGTGGCGCCACTTTTTGGCGGGAGGGCCCCCCTTGCCCACCGATCGGCTGCCATGGCCTGTGCAGGATGTGGCCTGGGCCGTACACCCTAATGCGCCGCAATTCAGCCCTGGGGAATCGTATGGGCTTCAAGGCCAGGCTGTTCTCAGCATTCTCAGCAGGGCCAGGAGGCGGATCTCATCACCACAGCCCGCGCACCCCAGATCCTCCATTAGCTGCTGCATCATAAGCGGCCTGGACCTTTGGGAGTGCGCCTGGGGCCTGTGATCGGCGTCTGCCCAACTCAAACCTCCGCGTGCCAGTATGCTCCGCGTGGTTCTGGCCCTGGCGCTCGGCGCCCTGGCCGTGGCGGCTCAGAGCAGTGAGTGGGGATTGACTGCTGGGGCCATGAGTGGCCAGCCCCCCTAACAACAGTGGCGGCCGCGTGAACAGCAACCGCTCCCGCTGCCCTGCAGCCCCGTGCCAGACGTACGTCGTCCAGGCCCAAGACACGATTGGGTCCATCGCAGCCAGCTTCAACATCCTGCAGTGTGCGTTGGGCGGCGGCGGGTGGTGATCGCCGCGCAGATGCCGCTGCCGCTTCCGGGCCCCGGCCGCGCCAGCAGGCATATGGCCCGGCCCGCCCTCCCCGCGCCCCGGCTGCCTCCCCAACCGCTCCCTGGCCTCCATGGCTCCGCTCCCCGGCCTCCTGCATCCCTGCAGCCGACCTGGAGTCTGCTCAGCTGGAGTGCAACAGTGGCTACACCCCCGGCGGCTTCCTGCAGCTGGCGCAGACGCTCTGCCTGCCGCCCTACTACCCCGCCTGCGCCAACGTCAAGACCGCGGGTGCGCCGCAGCTGCCGTTGTGGGCAATTGAGGCTGCTGGCAGCGCATGCATGCATGCACGTATGCATGAGTGCATGTGTGTGCACACTCATCGGCAGGCTGTCCACGCCTGCTGCCGCGCCTCCACCCGCGTCCGCGCCGCACCCGCAAGCAACCGCCACCTCCCTCCTCCACACGCACATCCCGCTCCTCCCGCACCGCGCCCAACCCTTCTCCCAGCCGTGCCCCGACCCACCGTCACCCACCTGCTCCCTTGCCTCGCTCACCGGTTTAGTTTTTGTAGGGATAGGTCGCCTCACTCCCATTCCCTGCACCCCTCCCCTCACTCGCATTCCTTTCCCTGCACCCCTCCCCTCACTCCCCCACCCCACCACGCAGGCGACAACGAGGCGTGCAAGTACTACACGGTGCAGGCGGGCGACACGCTGTCCACCATCGCCGCCGCCCTCAACCTGCCGCAGCTGGAGGTGGAGGCGGCCAACCCGGAGGCCACCTCGCTGCAGGTCAACGACTTTGTGCGGCTGCCGGGCTGGTGAGCGCTCCCGGGGTGGGAGTGTGGGTGGGGGGTGGGTGGGGGGAAGGGGTTTGACTGTAGGGAGGCGCAACGCCTTTGTGCTGCTGCCGGCCTGGTGAGCGCCCCCTGGGAGTGTGGGGTGTGTGTGCGCGTGTCTTGTGTGGGGGGTCGGGAAGGCTTGACTGTAGGGAGGCGCAACGCCTTTGCGCTGGTGCGGGCGGGTGAGCCGCATGCGTGCATGCATGCGTGTGTTGGGGTGGGGCCGGGCCGCTGCATGGCAGGCCCGTGCATGGCAGGCGCGCGCGGCTTGGGAGGAGGGCAGGTGGGAGGGGAGTGGGGGTGTGCTGGGTGCATGAGCTCGCCGGCGGGCCGGGAGTCGGGAGCGTGCGCAGTGGCAGGCGCGGAGTCGGCTGGGGACACCCGGCGCGGCATGGGGAGGGCCCTGGCTGCTCGGCGGCCGCCCACCTCCTCCACGGCCTAGCGGGACCTTTCTGGAGCGTGGTCTGTGGTGTGACGCACACCCCGCCTGGCCCCCTCCTCCACCTCCTCGTGCACCTCCCTAACACCCTCGCACACACACACACACATACTCCCACCCACCCATCCACAGGTCTGACGTGTGCGCCGCGCCCGGCGACAACACCCAGTGCCGCGTGTATGTGGCCGCCGAGGGCGACTCCCTGGCCTCCATTGCCATCGCCTTCTCCGTTGACGTGGCGGAGCTGCAGGAGGCAAACCCCAGCCTGCCCACCATCGGCGACAACAACGCCGTGCTGCAGCCGGGGCAGCGCATCAACATCCCGCCCTTCACCGCCGCCTGCGGCGACGGTGAGCGGCGGGCTGGCTGGCTGGCTGGGCGCTGCCGGCGCTGCCCAGCCGGTGCTGTCGCGGCCCGGTCTGGGCGTCCCGCTGCCGGTGCCCGGCCCGTGCCTGCTGCTCGTGGCATGCACGGCGGATCCACGCCCGGCTGCACCTGCGGCGCCGCTTCGCCTCCCCACCCCATCCACCTGCCCACCCGCCGCGCCCTCCGCCTCCCGTCGCTCCGCGCCCCCTGCAGGCGTGGTGGTGTCCAAGCCCACCAACTGCTTTGGGTACCAGGTGGAGGCGGGGGATGCGCTGTACGACATCGCAACCATGGTGGGTGGCCCGGGGTGGGCGGGTGGGGGGGGGGGGGGGGGGTCTGGGTGGCTGCGTGTGGCGGGAATGCGCGTGTGGCGTGGCTGCGTGTGGTGGCTGCGTGTGGTGGGATGTGTGGGGTGGGCTGCGCGGTGGGTGGGTTGCATGCAGACTGTGCCGCAGCGCTGCCCGGCATGCACGCCTGGGCTGCTCCAGCACAGCGCGGCCCCGGTCGTGACCGCACCCTCCCGCTCCGCTCGCCGCACGTCCCCCCGCTTGCCCTCCCGCACGTTCTCCGGGCTGTGGGCATCCGCCCCCCACCCCTGCCCGCCAGAACTGCCACCCCTGCCTGCTGCCCGCCCCCCTGCCGCCTTCCCGCAGTTCCAGACCACCACCACGCTGCTGGTGGAGGCCAACCCGGAGCTGGCGGCGGGCGGCGTGCTGGCGCCCGGCTCCGTCATCAAGCTGCCGCCCTAGTGCGTTTTTCCGATGTTGTTGCCGCTCGCGTGCTGCTGGCGTGCTGCTGGCGTGCTGCTGCTGCTGCTGGCTGCTGCTGGCTGCTGCTGGCTGCTGCTGGCTTGCTGGTGGTGTGCTGCTGCCTCGCTGCTGCCTTGCTGCTGGCTGCTGCGGCGCTGCTGCTGCTACCTGCTGCTGCCTGCCGCCGATGGGCGCGCCCTCTGTGGCGTGCTGCTGCTGCCATCCGGCAGCTGCTGGGTGTCGTGGCTGCGTGATGCCGCGGCCGCCTGCCTCCCGTCCTGCTTCCCGGCGGTGGTTTGCAAGCGGCCAGTCACGCTCGCCGCTCTTCTCCTCCCCACCTTCCCTGGTGCAGCGACGAGGCCACCTGCGTGGGCGGCATCTCCCTCAAGCCCCGCCCCGCCTCTTACAGGTCAGCCTGCCTGCCTGCCAGCCTGCCCCTGCCTGCTTCCCTGCCCCGCCTGCCTGCCCGCCTGTGCCCGCCGGCCTGGCCCTGGCCCTGCCGCCGCCGCAGCAGCCACCGACCCTGGCCCCGCCTGCAGCCCACCACCTGCGTGCTCGATTCGTCTGCTGCTGTCAGGGGCAGGCCACGCCGTGCCATGCCATGCTGCTCTCTTGCCGCCGCCGCGTGGCTGGCGCCAGCCGCCCGCCGGCTCGCATGCCACGTGCTCATTGCCCCTTGCCGGCGCCACACGCCGCTCCTGCCTCTGCAGCCCCTCTCTGGTGATTGCCGGGGACGACGATGCGGCGCCGACCGGCGCGCCCGCCCCCGCGGGCGCCGGCGCCCCCGCCCCCAGCCCCGCCTTCAGCCGCCGCCGCCTGATCTGAGCAGCGCGTGCCAGCAGCCCGGCACGCCCTCTGCAGCGCAGTAGTGCAGCGGAGCGGGCCCCGCCCCTCGATTCCTTCCCGTCTTTCTTCTCTTCCTACGACCGCCGCCACCAACCCACTCGCCGCCATGCTGCCACATGCATGGCCCGCAGGCGCCCCGTTGCCACCCTGCATGCCAAGCCCGCCCTCCCGCCCGCCCCTGCCAGTGTTTGTCCATGAGTAGACTCGTCCATTCCTTTCATGTCCGTCGCATGTGCCCTGCATGGATTCGCTTCACTGAGTTCTGCATTGCATTCTTTTAGCCGCGGCCCTGGCTGTACCAGCCGCGGCCGCCCCCCTCCACCTGGCGGCGCCAAGCGCCCGCCCTGCACTTGCTTCGGCGGGGGGATCCTTACTAGGCAGCACCCAGCGGAAAGAAAGAACCCAACCCTCCACCACTCAACCCTCTTGCGTGCCTCTCCCGTCCCTCTCTTTGCCACCCCTTCGCACCGGCTCGGCCGGACAGCTGCCTCCCAGGCCTGTAAAGCTCCCTGCTGCGCAACGGTGCCGCACTTGCACTGGGCACAGGACACAGAATGGAGGAGAAGGTAGGAGGGATCAGGCGGCAAAGGCGATGCCACAGGCAGGATACACTGTATACATCGGCAGTCGGGTGCATCGGGCAAGGCAATACAATGGGGATGACCATTTGCAGGGCACTCTCCCAGAATCAAAGGAAAAAAATGGAATGCACGGGGCGGGTGGGCGGTGCCAGGGCGGTACACATGGGGCCGGTACACAGGCAGGCCGCCAGGGACAGTGCAGGAAAAAATGGCGTGGGGGGCAGCTCGGCACGTTGATGGCACAGAAAGACGGGGGCGAACGGCGGTGCTGCATGCAGGGCAGAGGGCGGCAGCGGGCGGCGCCGCACAGACCCGGAACAGCCGCGGACAGACGGGCAGGCATCGGAGGCAGGGCGGAACAGGGAGATAGCATTGGTGGGGACGGCAGGAGGGCGGGTGCAGGCAGCGGGTCAGGCAACAGGCAGCATGCATCGCGGGCGATGAATGAAATGGGGTTGGGTGGCACTGCAGCACGCAGGCTGGGCGGGGCCGGACAGGAGAGGAAGCGCCAGGGGTCAAACCGATGAATGAATAAATGAAATGGGACTGAACGCAGGCGGGGCCCGCTTGGGCGGGCTCGCTTAGGAGGTGGTGCAGAGGCGCATGATATGCAATCGCCCCGCAGCACGCGGCAGCAGCAGCGCAGACCCAGGCTGCGCAGGGCGCCGTCAGGGCTACCAGGGGGCCATGCAACCAGTGAAAGGTCAGGGCTGCCAGCAAGCTTGCTGTCTTCACTGGAAGGAGTCGAAGAGGTACTTGATGTAGAAGGCCACCAGGTGGCGGGTGGGCAGGCCGTGCAGCCAGGAGACCCAGGCGGCGCTGCTGTACAGCACCTGCGGGCAGTACAGCGGGCGGTAAGGTGGGCGAGGCCAGGTGGCTGGGCTGTGGGCTGCGGGTCGCGGCCTAGCAGCCGCAGCGCCAGCCGACTCGGGGAGCCAGGCATAGACAACGCGGGCTGGCCGCCAGGGAGCGCGGCGGCAGCAGCCGCGCCCACCACGCCTGCGCACCTGCTCCTGGTGTGTCTCAAACAGGCGGTCCACGCTGGCCGCCAGCGCGGTCTCCTCGTCGGCGCGCCGCCGCTGCTGCTGCGCGAGGCTGAGCCCCGCGCGGCCGGCGCCGCCGCCGCCGCACTGGCGCAGCAGCCAGAAGGAGAAGGGCGAGAGGCGGGGCGCCACCTGCTGCAGCTGCTTGGTCAGGCGGCGGGCGTGGTGGGGGCCGTAGGGGAACAGCATCATGCGCAGCAGCACGGCCTTGACGAGGCCGCCCAGGTCACACACCCCCGGGCCGCGGTACGCCGCGTGGCGCAGCCCCAGGTAGCTCATGCGGCACTCCACGGGCAGCAGCGCGGACAGCAGCAGCACCAGCTGGGGGCGCATGCTGCAGGGAGGGCGGGCGGGCCCGGGGGGTGGTAGCGGAGGGTCAGGGGCTCGGCGGGTCCACGCCGCGGCGGCACACAGGCATCTCCCAGGCAGCTGCCCTGGCCCCGACTGCCGGTGCGGCTCTCCCCGCGTGCCCAGTTGCAGCGCAGGCCCCGCCCACATGGAGCATACCCACACACGCCGTCACGCACCAGATGCCGGCAGACGCCGCCAGCGAGTCCCAGACGTTGCCGGGCTGCTCGGCCCAGGAGGCGGGGTGGCAGGCGGCGCGCAGCACCTGGCCCAGCGTCACCAGCCCGGCGTACAGGGCGTGGTGCGAGGCCTCCCCCTCGCGCAGCGGGCTGCTCAGCTCCGGGTGCACTGCGGGGCAGCGGGCAGGCGCGTGCCGGCCATCAGACGACGGGGAGGGCTGCGGGCTGCGGGGTGTTGGCATCCCAAAGGGCTGCTGCCGTTGCCGCCGCCCCTGCCCCTGCCGCTGCCAAGCAAACTGGGGCCACGGCCCCGCCAGTATGCCACACACACAGCCACGCCACGCCATGCCACCACCCCCCATCCCAGCGACAACTCCCGCCACCCGCCAGGCTGCCAGCCAGCGGGCGCGTGTGCTCACCTGCGTTCATGGGCACCCCCAGCTGCTGCAGGCGCGCCTCTGCATCCAGCGCCAGCCCCCGCACCTGCGCCTCGCACAGCTCAAACGCGCCGCGCATGCCGCGCAGCGTGCCTGCGGCCGAGCACAGGCGCCGCCGCGCGCGCTCCTGCGCCACGCCGCGGATTGCGGGAGAGCCGGTGCAGCCCATCAGGGCCCGCAGGTCTTTTAGGGACACCAGGCCGGTGCGGTACACCAGCTCGATGAGAGGGTCAGAGGTGAGCACGGAGAGGCCGAGGGCGGTGGCGCCGGCAGCGGCGCCGCCACTACCACGCGCGCCGCAGCGGCTGCGCGTGCTGCGGCCGTAACCGCCGCCCGGCGCTGCCCAGTCATACACCTCTTGGTGCATCGTGCACTTGTCGAGGGGTGGCTGGCGTTTGGGCCTGCAGGGCATGGGAGGGGAGGCGCAGGTGGGCAGGCAGGCGCGGCACACGAGGGCCCCAGCCAGGGGCGCCGGCGGGCGCAAGGCGCTGGCGGGTGTTCACAACTGCGAAGTCAAAGCGGCTGGTTGGCCGGCCAGTTGATGCTGTTGGGCCTCTGCATTGTTGCCGGTGCCTGAACGGGCTGCCCGCTGCAGCACAGGCGCTGGGAGGCGGGGGTGCAGGCTGGCCCTCCCGCAATGCCCTGCCCGCACGCTGTGCCTCTCCTGACCTGCAGGCTCCACCGAGTGGCTCCCTGGATCAGTGCAGGATCTCAGCACGCTTCAGCGGGTTGCTGGAGCACGCTTCAGCGGAATTGCGGTCCCTCCAGAGGGTGTGGTCAGAGCCCTTGCACCGCCTGCTGACTGGTAGACCAGTGGGAGGTGCGCCAGGAAGGCGGAAGGACGGCGGCTTAGCCGCAGGGCTGGGGGGCACGACCAGCATGGGGGCCCTTTCCACCCCTGATTACTGCGCGAGTTGGTCGCGGGAGCTCTGGCCCCTCTCGCCCGGCGCGATCGCTTCCCCTCCACGCGAAACCCCCGAAGAACGCGGAAAATTTTCCTCGTCGGCATGTCACAATTTCTTTTTAGGCAGGCGAGGGCCGTGCCGCCCCGCCGCGCCCCCCGCCCGCCCCTGGGTCCTCGTGGTGGAGGGAACCGCTGATCTGGGGGCGCGGGCAGGGCCGGCGGGGCCCCAGCGCGCGGTTCCAGTTTTGGCATGTCACGTTTTCTTTTAGGTAGGGCGGCGCGCCTGCCGCCCCGCCGCGGACGCCGCCGCGCTGCATGTACTCCTTGGAGCGGGAACGGTTGATTCGGCACACAAATGGGGCGTGCGAGGAGGGCCCATGCAAGGCGCCTGCCGCCGCCGGCGCGCCGCCATTTTGGCGCATGGCCGAGGTGGCCGGCGCGCGGGGCGGCCGCCCTGGTGCCCTGCGTGCAGCAGCCTGCTGCCTGCTGGGGCGGCGAATGTGGAGGGATGCACGGGCGACCACCAGTTTGCATCCCTCCACATTAGCCGCCGCCGCCGCCGCCGAGGTGGCCGCCTGGATGTCTGCCTGCTTTCCTGCCCCCGCCGGCTGTCGCTGCGATGTGGCTCCCCCAAAGAACCGTGATTCGCCAGGTGAAGGGTGGCACGCCAGCTTTTCCAGCCGCAGTCGGCACAGCCTGGCCACGAGTGCGACGGTGTGCTGCCAATCGGGTTGCGGAGGTCAATTGCTCAAATGCCAGCAAGTTGCAGGCCACCATGCACCTTTTCTGATCATACTGAACACTAATGCCATACTGCCCAAACTGGCCGGGCCAAGAGCGCGTCGAGGCGCTGGCCTGGCTGGGCACCGGCAGCGGCGAGACGCGCGTTTACAGCTGCCAGCGTGCCACCAGCAGGGGCTGTGTGTGACCCTGGTCAAACAGCTGTAGGGCATCGATGGCGGCACCTACCCAGCCAGCCAACCACGCCAAGGAGCGGTGTCAGCGCATCCTTGCGGAGCTGCCGCCTGCGGAGGTGCGCCCGACCAGCTTCCCACCCTGGCTGCAACTGCATGTGTTGGAGCGGGATGCCGCAGCTGGAATGGTGATGGAGGGCCATCCAGTACGCAAAGTGCGAATTGAACACATCCCCGCAAGCAAGCAAGCTGCTGAACGAAAGCGGGGATGTGGTGTGGCCGGGCGTCAGTGTGCGGCGGCAGGGCGGCGGCGGCGGGGAAGTGGGGTGGGAGGGCAGCGGAAGCTATAGCCAATGTGCCACTCAGGCAGCCATCAACGCCTCGTAATGAGAGCCATCAAACGCTGGGAAGGCCAAGCACACGCTCTACTGGTCACCCCCCATCGGCTGGTTGCAAGCGCAGCCATGTTGATTGGGAGCTGTGATCAGCATGGAGCGTGAACGCAATGGAAAGGGGCTGTACAAATGCGGCAGCACGCCTCCCCGCCCACTCGCCCCAGTCAGGTCGACCCCGGTTGGCGAGTGTGAAGCCGCGCCTCCCGCCTCCCCAGGCCTCTTTGCAGCTCGGAGGAGCACTCTCCACGATGGGTGAGCACGCTGGCCGCGGCGTGGGCGTCATGGGGGCCATGCCACACTGGCAGCCGGACGTGGGAAAGGGCGGGGAGACCCCTGGCCGGTTGCGGGAGCGGTGCACCATCCATGGACGCGCGGGGGGCGTCCCATCTGGCCGCTCACCTGCATGAGTGCCCCCCACTGCCGCCTGCAGCGAAAGTTAAGGCCCACGAGCTGCGCAGCAAGGGCAAGGCGGAGCTGGAGCAGCAGGTGCAGGCGGGCGGAGGGCAGCCGGGCCAGCCGGCGGTGGGGATGGGCGGCAGGCCGACGTGGCGGCAGTCGGCGGCCTCTGTTCGTGTTCCACACCACGCAGCTTGGCAGCACAACTCAACTGGGCACCTTTGCTGACAGCTTCAGCCAGGAATATGGCAAGGAAACGCCCAGGGAATGCTGGCCTGGGCTGGCCATTTGCGTGGCACCGCTCCCGCGCGCCGCTTCCCCACCGCGTCGTTCCCTGCCCTCCTCTCCCTGCCTGCCCGCCCTGCAGCTCAAGGACCTGAAGAATGAGCTGGGAGGCCTGCGCGTGGCCAAGGTCACCGGCGGCGCCCCCAACAAGCTCTCCAAGATGTGAGGCCCCACCACCCGCGCCGCTGAGCTGGCATGCTCGTGGCGGAGGCGGCAGCCTGCACAGGAGCAGCCGGCGGCAGCATTTGTATGGAGCAGCCGGGCAGCTGAGGACTGCAGCAGCTGGCGCAGCAGGACAGGCCGCAGCAACGACGACGACAGCTGCGGTGTGCCAGCTCCGGCAACGCTGCTTCAAGGAGCACATGTCGGGCCGCGGGGTGTGTTCCCAGCTGCATGCCGCACATGGGCTGACCGCCGCCCGCCCCTGCCCGTGCCTGCCTACCTGCAGCAAGGTTGTGCGCAAGAGCATTGCTCGCGTGCTGACCGTGATCAGCCAGAAGCAGCGGGAGGCTCTGAAGGAGGCATACGCCGGCAAGGTGCGGGCCGCAGTCGCCTCCTCGCTGACTGCATGCTGCCTCCTGCTGCTGCCAGGTGCTGCCGATGCCGCAGCGGCCTCGGCTGCTGCGCCCATGCTGCTGCTATGGCTGCATGGGCAGCAGCGGATGGGCAGCCCGTGCGGCGGCAGCGTGGTGGCATACTGGGGCAGCAGCTGTGGTGTGGTGTGTCGATGCCGGCGCCGGGCAGCTAAACGCAGCTGCCAGCTTGTGGTGTCAGCGGTCACCTGCGCCGCATGGCAAGTGTGTTGCGGATAGCAGCGGCGCAGCAAGCAGGCTCAGCTGCAGGCGACATGGCGGAGGGATGGTGGGCAGGCTGTGTAATGGCAGTGGCATCTGGAGGCGATGTGTGAGGCATGTGGGGGCGATGTGTACGTCGCATGGTGCACCACAGTCAGCACTGGGCCCATCACAGGCTGGCAGCTTGGGTTACAGGGGATCCAGCAGCGCTGGGCACGCACGAGCTTGGCCAGCAGGCTTGGGCAGGCCCAAGAGCTGCCTCTCGCCACAGCCCGCCGTCTCTGCTCTCCCCGCCGCTCGTTGCCGCCCAGCCGCACCCTGTGTGCACACGATCTCACCCTGCTGTGCTGCCTTGCACCCTAACTGTACCGCAGAAGTACGTGCCGCTGGACCTGCGCGTGCGCAAGACCCGCGCCATCCGCCGCCGCCTCACCAAGGCCCAGGTCAGCCCAAGCGGCTGCGGCGCCCCGCCCTGGGGCTCACAGCTGCTTGTTTGTTTGTTTTGCACCTCGTCTGTTTGACCCGACGACCCAGCATGCCCCCCCTCTTGTGCTCAACTTGCGCCACATGCTTCTTTGTGCAGGCCAACGCGACCACTGAGAAGGCAGCTAAGAAGGCCCGCGCCTTCCCGCAGCGCAAGTTTGCGGTGAAGGCATGAGCGGGCGGGCGCGCGGGCGCCGCCGGTGCGCCTGGCTGGCTTGCCAGCGCGGCAGCTCCAGGCCCCCGGCGCCGCCCCGCACTCCTTTCTACCTCTGTAGGCAGCAGCCCCGGCCACGAACATGTATGTAACATGACGCTTCGCAGTGAGCCGCCAAATCGAGAGGGGCAGGGCAGTAGCATGGGGCAGGAGGCAGCAGCATGGGGCAGCATGGGGCAGGGAGGGAGTGTGAGATGCACGACCTGAGAGGCACCGCAGCATGCAGGCTGGGTGCCAGGCCATGGGGTTGGGGGTGGAAGGGTGGTGTTACATGGAGAGAAGCACGGCATGTTGAGAGCATCTGAAGGGGATCTGAAAGCAGCAGAGGAGGACATGAGGCAGCTGGAGTGGAGCGGTGCGGCAGGGAGCGACAGGGAGCAGGGAAGTGGGGACAACGAAATTGCAGAGGCAGGCGCAGAGGAGCGGCGAAATTGCAGAGCGGGCCTCCTCGGCCGCGGCCGCAGCGCGCGTCGAACGCGCAGCAGGCTTGCAGGCCGGCATGGGCGGGCTGGCGGGGCGGCCCTGGGAGCGCCTCTCCTCAGCCGCTCATCTCCTCTGGAGTCTTTGTAACCATAGCGTCCACAGCGTGCACCGTCTCCTGCAGCTCCTCCCAGATCGCCTGCAGGCGGCGGCAGAGAGGCGCAGATCGATGCATCGTGGGCGCAGGCCGAACCGTGTGGGGGAGGGGCTTCGTTGGCTGAGCCTCAGGCGCGCAGCCAGCACATGCTTCCAAGCCTGCGGGCCTCCGAGCCCAACAGCCGCCCTGAGCATCCGGCGCTGCCCTTCCAGTTTAACGTAAGACACACCCAGAATACAGGTATGTAGCACAGGTATATAGGCCAGGCTTAGGCCAGGCTTGCCAGCGCGGCACCCACCTTGTACACCATGCGCTGCCGGTTGACCGCGCTCTTCCCCTCAAACTCCTTGCTGACCACCACGATCTCCACGTGCCGCCCGTCGCCCTGCATGTCCTCCACCTGCACCAGCTCAGCCGACAGGGCCGCCTGTATCTTGCCGCGCATCTGGTCCATGAGCGCGCTGCCGATGTTGTTGTCCATGCTGCACGGCAGGGCGAGAGTTGGATTCATTGGTGGCAAGAAAAGGTGGCCATAAGATCGCGCAAGTTGTGATCTAAAGTGGTGTGCCAGTCTACCTGCTGGCCCGCGCGATAAGCAGCTGGCTGGGGCGGGCCGCCACGAGCGGCGCCGCCGCCAGCGGCCGTGCCACCCAGGCCCGGCTGCCTGCTGCCGCCCGGCTTGCCGAGGCCATCGCGGTGATGATGCGCCCGCTGAACAGCTGCGCCATGCTGCTGGGGGGGCGGTAGCGTGTGTGTGAGGGTCGGGGAGGGTCGGGCAGCGGGCTGTCGGTGAGTGCGCACCGGGGGGAGGACTTGCAGGACAAAAATTGCATGTTTTCCTCTTCTTCTGTGAGCGTCGGCGATCGCCTGTTGTACAGTCTGCAGTACTCGAATCCCCTCACCTCTGTGCTGCCCCTGCGCGCATTGGACGGATTCAAATCGGCTGGCAGCATCTGTGTACAATTGTGGGGCCGTCTGCAGCGCCCTCTGCGGCTCCTCCCGACAGGTCCTGTCAGCGGTTTCGTCAGGGCAGCCCCCTACGTCTCGCGACGGTGGAAGAGTCTCTTTGCCAGCCGCAGGGTGCTGTGCCACGCCTTGGCAGCGCAGGCGCGGCCAGCGGTTTCGTTGCGGATGATGGACATAGCAGACGAGAGTGGGTGGCCGCAGCCTGCCTGCACGGCTGCTGCTTGCCGCCTCGAGTGGAGGGGCACGCGTCCCGAATTGGCCCCGCCCAGCCGGCGCAGCCTACTGGCTTGCGTCAGCTGGACCCGCCCCGCTCTCCACTTCCGCCTCCCACCCACCGCAAACTCCCTGCGCAGGCCTGGTGGCGGCCTACAGCCAGCTGGAGCGCGCCCGCTCCCTGGCCGCCGACGGCGACTTTGGCGCGGGCCGCAAGGCGTATGCGCGCGTGGAAGCCCAGCTGCGGCGGGTGGCCGAGAGCGTGGCCGACGGCGAGCTGCGCCAGAGCTGGGCGTGCTTCATGGCCGCGCTGCGCGAGGAGCAGGAGCTGACGGCGGCGTGGGAGCAGGAGTGCGCGGAGCTGGCTGCATGGGCGGAGGAGCAGGTGCAGTGCGGAGGCGGCAGCCGCAGCCCGCGGAGCACCCAGCTGTCAGCTGTCAGCTGCCTGCGAGCAGCCAACCGGGTGGTACCTCATGGTACCACCCCCGCCTGCCATCGACTGATGATGAATGCCCCGACCCGTCATCCCCCTCTGCAGGACGTGCTGCACACCCCCACCAAGCGTGCCGCCAGCAGCACCAGCAGCGGCGGCCGGGCTGGCTCGCCCTCCCAGCCGCCCAGAGCCGCCGCCTTCAGCGTCGACCCGCGCAGCTTTGCGGTGGAGGAGCTGGCGCCACGGCAGCGCGGCGCGCCACCTGGCACCAGCCGGGCCCAGGGCGCCGACCCCGACGTGTGGCAGCCGCCCGAGGCGCCGCCCGAGGCGCCGGAGCGGTTGAGGCGGCGCCGGGAGGAGGCCTTTGAGCGGCAGCGCCGGGACAGCCTCACCCCCGGTACCTCGTCAGGTGGGTGCTTGCATCCTAGAGGTTGCTGAGGCAGAAGCGCGGAGGCTGGGGCCCGCCTGCCGCCGCCCCCTGCTGCAGCGCGTTGTAGCACAGGCTCCTCGGCTGCCTGACCGGCTCGCGCCTCCGCGCCGCCGCCGCCCCGCTGGCACGCAGCCGCCAAGCGCAGTCTCTCTGGCGTCAAGCCGCGGGTCGACACGGGGGCCAAGCGTGTGGCGGGCGCGGGCGGGGAGCACCGGCAGGGGCCCATGGAGGCACTACTGGAGCGGTACAGCGGGCCCGACCGGGTGAGGGGGCGCCCGGAGGGCTCTGCGGCCGGTGGCGGTGGGCAGGGAGCGGCGACAGGGGGGCAGCTGAGCCAGGTGGCAGCCCCAGGTGGCCAGGTGCCGTGGCGTGGTGTGGCGTGGCGTGGCGTTCCCACTGACCGCCGCCGTGCTGTGCCGCCCTGCGCCTCTGTGTGGCGGTACCGCCAGGACCTGGTACAGCAGCTGGGGCGGGACATCCTGGAGCAGGTGCCGACTGTGGGCTGGGACGACATCGCGGGCCTGGGTGAGGCAGGGGGGGTGTTTGTTACTGATAAGTGCGGAGGCTATGGTTGGGCCATCATCGGCAGCGGAGCTCGGAGAGGGCGAGGCGGGCGGCAGCGCTGCCGCCGCTCGCCCGGCCCGGCTCGAGCGGCCGCTGCTGGCCCCCTGCCCTGCCTGCTGCCCCTGCCGAGCCTGCTGTGCCCGCTGCGATTGGCGCTCAGCCCGCCGTGCCTGCCGTGCCTGCAGAGGAGGCCAAGGAGGTGCTGCGGGAAAGCGTGGCGCTGCCCCTGATGGTGCAAGAGCTCTTCTCCCAGATCCCCATCCTGCAGCCCATCAAGGCGCGCGCACCGCACGCAGTCTGGCTGATGGGGCTTCAGCTGCGGCTGCCGCCAACTGCAGCATCCTTGCTCTGCAATCCACACCCTCAAAACGTTTGCCCTTCGACGGCCACTGCCCGGCAGCGGCAGGGCTGGTGACTGGGTGGCAGCTGCCTCCTCCAGCCCCAACCCCGCCCCTGCCGCCAACCGTATCACCCAGCCTCTGCCGCCGTCGCTGGGCGCCCCACCCTCTCCGCAGGGCCTGCTGCTGTTTGGCCCCCCCGGCACCGGCAAGACGATGCTGGCCAAGGCGGTGGCCACGGCTGGGAGCAGCGGCGAGTGCCGCACCCACTTCATCAACGTCTCCTCCTCCACCCTGGCCTCCAAGTACAGGTGGGCTGGGTGCCACTGTGTGTGGTTGCTGGCAGCGGTAGCGTTGATTTGGCAGGGGTGCCGGTGTTGGATTCGGCGGTATCGTTCACAGGTGTGTGTGTGTGTGTCAGTGTGTGTGTGTGTGTGCTGTGTATTGACCAGCAGCTGCCACGGGCAGCGCCCCTCTCCGCCGCCGCCGCCAGCAAGCATGACACAACGGTAGCATCGTGCGCCGCCGCAGGGGCGAGTCGGAGAAGCTGGTGCGCTTCCTGTTTGAGATTGCGCGGGCGCACCAGCCCTGCGTGGTCTTCATCGACGAGATTGACGCGCTGGGGGGGTGGGTGGGGTGACA